GGGGGGGGGACAGGAAGCAGAATAAAGACACAACAGGGAGACACACACATCAGACCAGGGTCAAATCACGTCTGTAACCATTTTACAAAAGAAACACTGTACATAAACAAACAGAAGAATCAGACAGAAATCAATTTGCTCCTTAAAAAAAAGTGAGACTGATATCGAAACAAAAAAGGGAAAAGCTCCAAGATAAGAGTTTCACCTACAAACAGACTCGTCTGTACTGACATCCCAAATCCTAAATTCTTTGAAATGTTTTCAAGATGGAATTGAAATGTTCCAAAAATACCATCAGTTTGACCCAGGTCTGCCATGCACACACACATTCACACACACACAAAAACACTTGAGCCATGCCCGCTCCAAAAGGAGAACAACCCCCCCGAGGCGTTAACATCGACAGAGAAAGATTTGATTTTACAAGATATACAAAGCGTCCGCCTGGATGCAGTCTGGACCAGCAGACTGCAGAGTGACGGACAATGAAGGGTCCAGTTTCCACAGGTTGCACCCCGAGGCCAGCCAGCAGGTGGCGCTCCTGACTTTCAGCCGCTGAGCTCATCCTCCAAAATGATCGGTTCAAGTTTGATTTGAGGACGAGCTAGTCCTGCAAATTCAATGGAGCGTCCAGCTGCTCTGTTCACAATCAACAGTCGCCATGGTAACTGTTGGATTTTAAAGTGAGACGTCTCTTTTCTACGTGAGCCTGTAGAGAGTGCTGAGAGTCTGCGTGATAAAGTTGAAGAGTCCTCTGCAGGCGTCTCTCCAGTCCTGCCAGTGGGGGGCAGCGTGCTGAAAGAGAGAGAGGACACGTGTTAGTCTCAAACTGCTGATAAAAAAAAAAAAAAACTGCAGTTCCTTGAGTGGCCACTTGAGGTTGCCTCCAAAAGGTGAGTGAACTCCCACAAACCTTCTAGTAAAGATGCAAAACTTTACACCAGTTACAATTATATTATTTTATTTTGCATTTTCATTTTGTTGGTGTGATTTTATTGACCATATTCAATTCTAAAAATGTAAATTCTGGTTGGTGTTTTTTTTTGGGATTTTGAAAAAAAAAAAAAAAAAATCAGAGAATTGAAAAAGACCAAGTACTTTGAGTTTTCTGTTGTATCTTTCATCACAAGAACTACACAATCTTATACTCTGTGCCTCTAAATCTCTTTGAATGGAGGTCACTGAACGCGTCCTCTACTCGTTGGGTATCCACCACCACCTCGTTAAAACAGCGTCATTCTGTTCTCTAAGAACTTTGGCGGTGAAAATACCAAAATGCAAAACCTGAGGTTTCAAAATGGCAAACCACAGAGCAGTGGGCGAGGTCACGAGCAAAGCCAAATAAAACACAAACGTGTTTGAGTATTCTTAGTTTGACCTTTTCTAGGCGAGCCAAGATGCAAAAACATGCGCATTTATTGACAGAGTGACCTACAGACCAACAGCTCATAAAACACCGCATGACATGATGACACATTCATGTTCCTGTTAGAAAACGACCTCACTGGACTCTGATATCAGGGTCAGACTGAAGCTCCTTTAAATACTGAGCATGTGTGATTATTACCAAAGTAATCTTTTATAAATTAAGATGAAAGAAATTAAATACATATTGATAAAATGATAAAATAGCTTCTTCTTCAAAGCTTATAAAAAGGTTTTTTTCATGATTCACAGAATGATGTTTAATGGAGGAGCGAGGGAACAGAGGCGGGCCGAGGTTCAGAGACACAGAGACATCATGTCTGCCACAGCTCAAACAACAGGACAAACAAGTGTGTGTCTGCGTAAAGGATGCTTCTGTGAACACCCTGAACCTCACGTGCCTGTGGTTAACCCTCCCCCTCCCTATCTCCTTTCCTCTCTCCTTCCTTTACAATCTTCCTCCCTCCTTCTTTCTGTATCAAACTGCTCATTTAGAATATAATGAGTCTGACTGTGCTTTTTGGCCCTTGCTGGGTTGTAAACAACACACACGATTTCCTCTGTTTCCCCTCGAGAATAAAGTCTCTGTATGTCTTTCGCACACACACACACACACACACACACACACACACACGCACACACACAGGTTGACAGACAGAGAAGGAGACAGTTCTGTGAGGGCAGAAACCCCTGAAACCGGCCGCACATGTCTGCCTAACAGGCTATTACGCCCTCATAAAGTGTGTGTGTGTGTGTGTGTGTGTGTGTGTGTGTGTGTGTGTGTGTGTGTGTGTGTGTGTGTGTGTGTGCATGTGTGTGCATGTGTGTGCGCAAATCCAATCCATGTCTGACTCAGAGCCGAGAGTGGGTGACGTCATCTTTGTTTGTGTGCATAAGGCGGGAGGGAAGGCAAGGGCGGGAGAGAGAGAGAGCAAAGGGGAGGCGCGTGTGTGTGCGTGTGTGTGTGCGGGTGTGTGTGTGGTGGGGGAGTGCTGTCGAGCGGCTGCCAACTCCTCACGCGATATAGTGTACAGAGGGAGGGAAGGGCGAGATTAAGACATGACAATAAAGAGAAACAGAGAGAGACAGGAACATATTCTTCTGTGTGTGTGTGTGTGTGTGTGTGTGTGTGTGTGTGTGTGTGTGTGTGTGTGTGTGTTCAATCAAACCAAATTATTATTGATGTGATTTTGATTTGAAGTTTTTTTTTCATGTGTCAGGTAAAAGAAATCGACTTGTAAGAGTATTAATCTACAAAGAGATAAGTGGAGAAAAACTGATGTTTGATCAAAAAAAGTGTGAAAGATGAATAAAGGAGGAACAGTGAGATGAGTTTGATATGAAATGAGTGAGGGACAGAAGCATGAAGAAGAGACAGAAAAGGTTTTAACTGAAATCTGATGAGTGATCAAAATTAGACAAGAGATTCAATTCATAAAGAATCACAGAAAGAAAGGGAAATCAGCAAGAGGAAACAGAGGAGAGAGGAGAAAAAGCGGCACAAATGAAATCGATTCTCTCTCTCTCTCTCTCTCTCTCTCTTTCACACACCCGTATTGATCGTCCTCCCTCACACACACACACACACACACACACACACACACACGTAATTAAGCACGCAAACTCACATGCTCACTCATGCAAGAACGCAGCATGGACGGATCAGAATCAATGTGACTGTGCTGCTTTCAAGGACGTGGGAGAAAAGGGAACCCAGTAATCCTCAGATCAGCTCAGGTGAAGGTAAAACAAACTCACTGCACTGCGCAGCGATGATGACGCCGTCGCCGACCCGAGTGTTCAGGTATTGTTTACATGTTGGTAATAAAAGTTCGACCTGCGTCAGAAACCTCCAGCAGCTTTTTGTTGTTGTTGTTGTTGTCATCAGCATAAAAGACAACACATGTGCCAATCAACATCCCAGTTTCACTTTTTTTGGAACGAGTCACAGAATCAAGGTTTGAAGAGTTCATCGGTAGGCGTTTGAAAAGTTTAATTAGCAACTAGTTATATAATCAGTTAAAAGTTCTGGGTCACATATGAAACTTTTCCAACTTCAGATTTTGTACGTTCAGTTGTGAAAAAAAGAAAACGAGCAGATTGAAGACATCGTTTTAGGCATCTGACAAATCCAGAATAAAATCTGCAGATTCAACGAGTTTTGAGTCATAGCTTATCCCCCCAACCCAAACTCGTCATAGAGTTCAACTAGAAGGAACATAGTCGTAAGCCCCGCCCCCTTCTTACCGCTCTGCGCAGCACCGTGGCGTTGTACTCATCTCCGATCATCCTCAGCTGGTGAGCCACTCTTCTGATCTCCAGCTCCTGCGCCGCCTCTCCTCGGAGCGCCATGGAGGGGTGTGGATCGTTCTGTGGCAGCAGGTCGGGCAAAGGTCCCAGACGGCTGGAGGCATCGGAGTGCTCCTCTCCTCTCTCCGAGTCTGCGGCGAGAAAGACGGCAGAACACATTAAAGAAAACAAAAATACCAACAAAGAAGAAGAAGAAGAGATTCCTCCTGCTCCTTCATCCTAATTCTACCTCTCTCTCTCTCTCTCTCTCTCTCTGAGAAATGTTCACGTTATTGGGAGCCTCTGGTTATGCCTAATTGATTCTCAACAAGCAGAGAACATTAAAAGCCTCCTTACACACTAATGTAGAGACATTGATGAGGAGAGTATCCTGTACACACACACACACGCACACACACACACACACACACCAAGCAGGCAAACACAGAGATATAAGTGAACAAACACACTTGATATCCTCAGTCATCCCCGCTGTCAGGCTGTTAATGATCCGAACACTTGAAGTGAATTACAGACTGGTTAAATCCTGTTCTTTCATATGTTTGTAGATGCATATTTGTTTGTTTATCCTCCGTGATGAAGACGAAATGTGACATCAAAGTCTTTATCTGTGATTTTTCACACTTAAATATATAAATCAAGTATGTCCTCTGAAAATAACTCTGTGAGTCATGACTGTCTACAATGGGTGTAACACCCGAGTCCCACTGTCTGTGATGTTTTCAGAGTTTTCAGAGTCCTATCTTCACTTTGTTTACATCGCCAGGACGGCTGGCTGACTCCTCCCCTCGTGTATAAAAGTTGTTTAATTGAGGGACTAGAGAAAAGAAGAATAACATACTGTACTCACTGCTTAACTGTGTTTCTAGATCACGCTCATTTCAGCTAAATTTACATGCAGTGTGAAGATACCAGCATAATAAAGATCACTAGCATTAGCATGCTAACACAACAATGCAGCGCCAGTTGTTTTGGTTTCATGCTGGTGCTCAAGGGCGACATCTGCTGGATCAAAAAATCACATATAAAGACTTTAACAAATATAAAAGGTCGGTTTGATTATTTTTTGTGAGTGTGATTTCTGTTTTGTTTTTTGTTTGTTTCATTTGCTTTATTTTGAAATAAATTCTTATTCTTCAAATTCTTATGTTTTGTGTTTTTTGTAAACAAACTAGTAGTGTCTTAAATAATAAGATTTGTAATAAGGGTAGGTGTAATAAGATAAAGATTCAGCGTACACCTTTTCGATCAAAATGTTTTTGTTTTTTCTTGTGACCGAAACAAAAAATTACTACTAAAAAAAACAAACGTGTTTTTAAAATCATTCGATCTCCGTTATTTGGAGGATGCAAAGGATGAAGAAGTAGCAAAGCTTTAACTCCAGTGATATTAGGCCATTCAAATGTAAAGGTCAGTAGATAGTGACCTTTCTGAAGTCCTTTTGGTGTCTCATGAAGACGTTAAGGTTACATTTATGTCGCTTTTAATCGATAATGAACAACCAGAAGAAGTCGCTGTTTATTTCTCCGGTTTGACACAAACACACATTAGTGAAGGAGTCTGATGGGGTGACTTATCTTCCTCTTCATGGAACTTGGGAGAGTAATCTCTTAATCTGCTTAATAAGTCTGGTATGGAGAGGTGCTCTGTGTGTGTGTGTGTGTTTACAGACTTTGAATTCTTTTAAACACAGATACCTGTACCTTCTGTTTGGTTAAATCAAACAACAAACATGCCTCAACCCACTCAAGATAAAAGGATTTTTATTAAAGCTGATGGGTGAATGTTTTGGTTCTTCATTACAGAAATAAGTGTGTTTGTTTACTATTTATTTCTGTTGATTTAAGTACTTATTTATTCGTTATTTGTCTTTCTTATTGTAGTTTCTTAAATGAGTTCAACCCTAATTTATAAAGAGGAGCTAACTTAACATATCTCACTGTGACAAGAATTCAAGAGCACTTGCACATATTTTTCTTAATGAAAACTATTTAAAGTTTTTCCCAGATTATATTTGTTGGCCTTTGTTTCACATTCTAAATTATTCTGCATTAAACTGTCCTGCACAGTGAGGTTTGATTATGATTATTAATCATCCTCCACATGGACACACCTTTGACCCTCGGCTTCTCCATTCACTTCAACATTTTTCTTTTCTTTTGCACGATGCCCGTCTCTCTCTCTCTCTCTCTCTCTCTCTCAGAGAAACAGACATCCCTAGCAACCACAGCATCTGCTTTTCTAGGAGGATTAAAACTGATCCTTTAAAGATGCAGGTGACTAGACGGGGAGAGAGAGAGAGAGAGAGAGAGAGAGAGAGAGGAGGGGGAAAGAGAGAGCGGGAGAAAAAAAAAACAAAATGGGAAAACCCTGGCCTGTTGCCAAGGTAACTCTACGGCAACACTCCTGGAGACGTCTCCGTGTGTGATTGGCCGACAGAGCAAGGGGCCCAGGCTGTGATAGGGTGGATGGGATGGAAAGGGGGCGGGGCTAAGGGATAACGCTGTTTGATTGGGTGGACAGACTGACAAGGTAACAGAGAGACCCCCTGACCAGTTAAAGACGGGGGGCAGGAGGTGGTGTAGTTGCCGGGTGGAGGGGTGGAGGGGTGTAAAACGGGGGGGGGGCATTTAAAATCAAAACAAAACAAAGCAGAAACAGAAGAAGCTTTTTTAGGACTGATTACTTCCTTATTTTGAAGACGCTGTCGCCGTAATAACAACACAATTTACAAACTCAAATCACTGATAAATTCACCTACAAACTGACATCACACCAAACTAACACACTAATCAATAAACCCGCCCAGTGACCAGATACAGGGACTGACTCACCAGGGATAGTGAGTCTACAATCCTAACCAAACTGGTTAATTACAGTTTCCAAATCGAGTGTTTCTCGGCTTCACTTGTGAATTGATTTAATGATTTGGAGGCTCATGCATCAACTGAAACGTGTCTCATGTATTCACTCGGTTGTGGAGCAGCTTATCAACGTGTTAACTTTTCTGACAGGATGTGGCTTAAAGAGAAGTAGAGTCATTAACCAGATAACTAACAGACATGTTCTGGACTAATTGAACAGCTTCAAGTGTAAAAAAAGCTTCCTGTTGCCTAAATGCACAAAGACATTAAACAAAACAACGATTAAATAACTGGACAGAAAGAAAGAAGTAAACGACTTCCTAATTGACACCCTTACTCTGAGATTGTCTGACATGCAGGTAAACACATTACCTTTAAGATGAATATCTAAATCTACTCGTTCAGAGATCCACAGTGGGACTATGATTAAGCATGCCATTGCAAAATTGACCGGTCGACACGTAGAGGTGATGAAAGTGTCTGACTAATCAATGAAGTCTGAGAGAGGCTAATTAAATAATTGACTTACTGACTGGATGCTGTGACTCTGACAGTGTGATTAGTAGACTTGACAGATAAGCCTGATCACTGACAAACACGACTACATGACTGAATAAATGAGCTTATGAACGAGCTCCTCCGAGAGCTCTAATGAATCCCTTTAATTTAACTGCAGTGACAAAGTTAAAGGAGATCAAACAAAACTTACTGACTGACTTGACTTTCAGAGCTGACTGGCTGGAGGAGGAAATGCTGCAGATTTTTTTTTTCCTCTGCTGCTGCAGATAGAGCGCCGGGGACATGTCTGAACATGCCCACATGCACAGCTGACCTACAGCTGAGAGGAGGAGCAGCAGGAGGAGGAGGAGGAGGAGGAGGAGGAGGGCAATTATCTGTTTTCATTGTTACAAATCTGTCACAACACGGCGGCTCAGTGCCAAATGTAAACCGGCCTTTCCTGTAGCCTGCTGAGCCCCGGCTGCCTCCTGAATTTCCCCTTTTACAGCCTCCAGGAAACAAATGTTTAGATTGGTACATCCTATGATGATTTACATTTCGCTGCAATCAGAGCTCTATGCCATGAGCAAACACAAGATCAAAGAGCAAACACAAGATCTAGAATTGATTAGCTTACTGGCACTGACTGAGCAGAATCACTTTTAAAGGCAAGAAAACAATCAACAACTTGTCAACATCTGACTATCCAGAGTGGCCGCTTTTATTCCTAAAAGTCGACATTAGAAACCATGAACCATGATTTTCCCTCATCAGACTCAAAACAAACTGTGGAGTTTCTTATACTTCATTTTTGGGTTTAATGGCCGTTGTTATAATCTTCCCTCCTCACATCTTCTGAACTCCAGCCATCGGGGGAACAAAACCAGTTTGAGTGGTTTTTGCAGTCTGAGGGGGCGACATGTTTCCCTAACACAGTGTGTCCTGCTGGATTAGAAAAGCCACTGTTGAGACACGTGTTTATCTTTGTGACAGCTGTAACACATCCTCTCCTTACACCGTCCTGCCCCCATCAACACTGTCCAAACAGTCTCCTGTCATGGAAACACAGCCCGGCGGGGGATGCACACACCCGATACTCTCCCTCCATCTGATAACATGGATGTTTATTTTTTGGGTGTAGGTCTGACAGGCAGCTCCCCCTCCCAGCTGATGCTTCATATGAACATGCATTCATATTATATCTGCAGCTTGTTCCTGCAGCGGTAAAAGCTGCAAGCTTAGGTCATAAATCAAATCCAGCTCTGTTGTTGCTCTTCCTGGCAGGCTTACCGATTACTGATAAAGATCTTAGAGATATATTTGCACACTTTCCCTGTCAGTCAAAACAAAGGGAGAGCCGGCCCAGATGTTTTATGATACCTTGCTCCAACTTACTTGTTTTTAAAAGGTTTTTTGACCCTGCTCTAAACTGTATATTTTAGAATCCAGCATCTTTTTGTTATAAGTCTCACCTGACTGCTCTCCTGAGAAGGCACAGGGTGCTCCTCCTCCACCTCTCTCCTCCCTGTGATTGCACGGCGGTGAAGGAGGAGGCGTCGGTGCTGGCGATGGCGATAACGCAGGAAACTGCTGGTGAGTCTGGGGCTCGTCCTGGCCCTCGGGATGGGGGTAAGGCAGCGGGTAGGAAAAGTAGAGGGCCTGCAAAGGGCGCAAATGGTGCGGGAGCATGCCGGCCCCCACGCCAGCGCTGCCGGTGGTGGTGATGGTGGCGGTGGTGAGCAGGCCTGGCCAGGTGTGGAAAGGCCGAGGCAGCTCCATGCGGCAGGTGCTGTGTCCAGGAAGAGGGCTGTTTCCTCCTCCTCCGGTTTCCCCAACGCTCTCGATGGTCTCTGCACGGGCCATCTCAGGAGAAGCCTGAAGCATAAGATATGTCGATTCATTTATACACATTCATCAATTCATTTATACACATTCATCAATTCATTTATACACATTCATCAATTCATTTATACACATTCATCAATTCATTTATACACATTCATCAATTCATTTATACACATTCATCAATTCATTTATACACATTCATCAATACACACCGATGGATGAACAATGGACAACATGAACTGCTACATCAAATTAACAGCTGCCACAACTAATGGATTAGCTGTCAAATTTTAAATTGATTACCAATTATTTGGATCATTGATTAAATAAGAAAATAATAAACTGATCAATCAAATGTTGTTTTTTTTGTTGAATGCTGCTGCATCAAAACACATTTTAATAGAAATGCTTTTCTGAACTTATTCATATTTACAATAAATATCCAACAATATCGATACAAATGTGGAAACCACAGAAAAAGAGCACGTAAAAAAAAACGTGAGTATTTTACGTTTACAAAATAAACAGTTCTAATTTTAGCTCCATTGTTTTTCTCCTCATCCCTCCGTTTGACCCACCGACCTATATTGTCATGTCACCGCTAGGGGGCGTCGGCTTCTCCCCCTGCAAAGAGCACGAGCCCCGTGTTTGTAAACAAATCCGTGCCGACAGAGCACGAGGAAGCGCACACACACACACACACACGCGCACACACACAGTGAAACGACGAGGGCAGCAGAGGTGAGCACAGTTTTATCTAATCATAAGAAGCAAAATATCATCGTTTATCCTCTTTATGCTGTTTATTAAAACATCAGGAATGACGTCATAAAATGTTAATTACCTTCCAACATTAAAAACCCAACTTTTACCGGAAAGAGTCGATTAAAAGTGACATTTAAAAAATAAAAAAAATAGAAAGAAAGAAGCGATAAAATCATTATAGGTTAGAACATTCAGGATTTTCATCCAATTAGTATTAAATCGTCAAACTCCAAAGTGTTAATGAAAGTTTTTGACAGTCCTGCTCCAAATCGACATATGGGCTAAAGATCACGACCAAGATTTCACACTGAAGTATTTTCAAGATATCTGGACTTGACCATTTTTTTTTTATTTTTTTTATATCTGACAGGTCTGGACATGTTGCAAAACCACTAAAGAATATAATACATGTAAACTCACTTTAAAAAAAAGAAGAAGCTAAAAGTCGAAACTAAAATTTTAAATATTTTATAAAAGTTAAGAAAATTACTTTAAAAAAACAAAAACAAAACAGATAATCCCCCTCTCTCTGACAGCTGGACAGATGATGCAACTTTGCCCTGTCATATTTACAAACCGACTTCTGCACCGGTTATTTACGGTAAAGCAGGTGACTTACTAGATGTGTGTGAGGCTCCGTGGTGAGGCTGTCCGCAGGTCACAGGTGAGGCTGTCCGCAGGTCACAGGTGAGGCTGTCCGCAGGTCACAGGTGAGGCTGTCCGCAGGTCACAGGTGAGGCTGTCCGCAGGTCACAGCTGCACATCAGAGGGGATGACAATGTGCCAAAGAAAACGAGGAGTTAACGCGACCACCGGCAACACGATGTTAGAGGAAGAGTCCACGGTGTCAGTCCATCTCAAAGTGCCTTCAGGTTGGATTGTCTCAGTTGATCTTCGGCATGTTTCCCGTCGCAGGTTAACCCATCAAAATAAAAGAGTCGACGAATAACGGAGAGGCTGGATGTCTGTACCGCTCTCTGTCCGGGGATGTTCAGTCTGAGCGGGTTTCTGCTGTTGCTGCTGCTGTATGGAATACTACCTCTGTCAAGAAATACCAACTTCCGGTAAGAGCTTTCAAAATAAAACCAAGCTGACCACCCAGTCCTGCACAGTTGCAACGTTTTCCCTTTTTTTTTTTTGCACAAACTCCTCGTTTGTGTCAGCGTACTTTGCAATAAAATTGATTCTGATCCTCCAGAGTTCATGTGTTTATGGATCCAGCTGACGTGTTTTTAATTTGAAGGGCTGAGTCACATTGTTGTATGGTTTGTTGACTTCCTTCACCACGCCCCTCTCTCCTCGACAAGTGCTGACATGCTCCGCCACATCTCTCTCTCTCTATCAGACTGTATAATACTGTTTTATACACACTTTGTGCTCCTCTAGTTTCATTTATATTTTGTATGTTTTTGTATTAAACCTGAGATTTCATTTGTTTTTATAAAACAAAAAAGCATTTGCTTATTTACCTCTTGTCTGTTTCAGTTCAGTCCAATAACATTTTTGGTGACAACTGCAAACAAAAGGCACCAAAACATCCCCCATCTTCACACAAACACACTCCCCCCACTCACCCATCCAGCTGGACCCCCCCCCCCATTGACCTCTCAGTTTGACACATCTGCAGCAGCTGTGATCCTGTGTGGAGCTGGGGCTGAGTCAGTGGTCATTGTAGAGCTCAGTTTATTACACCACACTCACGGCAAGTGCAGGCGGAGTGTCAAAACCATTAGTACATATAATCACTCTGACATTTGTGGTTTGTGAGTCATGCAAAGACAAATACACCTCTGATGGTTTGGGGCGTCTTGCACGTCAACAATACTCATTTTGCATAATGGGGTAAATAACCCTCTGTAGGTTTTAAAAAGCCCAGAAGTCCACTTCAATCCACTTCACATGACACTTTGGTGTTAAATTGTGCCCAGATTTAGTCGAGAGGATCAATTATTGTGCCACCATGTTGTTTTATTTATTCTTAAATTAACTAACTGATAGCAAAACTTCCTATAAAGTTTAAAAAAAGAGCAGAAATGCAAACAGTGACTCAGTGTTTGTCTAACTTTGATTGGATGCCCCATGTTTTGCATTCATCACAATGAAGGCTGCATGCAATTGGGGCTGTTGTTAGGATCATATTTAGTGATCTTGAGGTAACTGCTAAATGAAGTAGTTATAGTTACAGATGTCAGACACAGACTGTTAATGCATTTCAAGAAGTGTATGACAGCACTGAACTTCCATCCAGTCCAGTGAGAATGTTGTTGTGGTTGCACAGATGTTGAACATGCTGTGCGATTGTTAGCCAGCAGATCGTCCTGCATTATTTATGTGTGTGGAAAATGTTTTAATGAGAAAGATTTTTTTGTATTTTAGCTTAAAAAACAAACAAATGAGATGAATTATCTTTGCAGATTTGTGCGTGTGCCTCTCTTGGCCCTCTTATGTGTGATTTAGTCACAAGTTTAACATGTTTCCATCACATCTGTCATTGCTGGTATGTGGGATTTTTCTTGCATTCAAATTATAATCAATGTCGATCATGTGCCACCTACTGAAGAAATCCAAACAGGTCTGCTTGTGTTAATCATTTCCTCCTGTAGCTGAAGCTGCAACACAGTCAGACTTTTTTTGAAATGCAAACTGACTCTCTGTATTTGAAGCATCAATAGAAATCCTCTTGATGGCATGAGGAGTTATAATCCAGGATTAGTGAATGTTTTGTTTACACTGGAATCCGTTTATGGCAAAACGGTTAATCCAAAATATGCAATCCATTAAAGTAAGCTGTGATTGAAACATATGGTGCACAATAAACAGAGAAGTTTCTCATGCACATGTGAGGGATCTGCCTGTAGTTTAATGTGTGTTTTTAAATCTGACTTTGACGCTTCACATTTCGGTCCTCAGGCTGCGCTCATAAAAGTGTTTTCTTCCTGAGAGAAACAGGAGCCTAATTGTTCCAGCTTTTACACCCCGTAGTTTGAGAACCCTGCATAGCATTAGCATCATAAATGACTTTAGACCCCCCCCGCCTTCTTAACCCCCGACCCTCAGATCATTGTCTTCTGTACACACTCCTCAGCCTCGGGGCATGAGACAGGGGCGGCTCTGCTGTTTAATCGGCTGGAAAAGGCAGCTTGTCGCCGGGACCTTAACACACCCCCGATTTTTGGGGGGAGGGGATGTGGGGTTCCCCTCTCAGGTACATGCCCGGGCGAACATCCTCTGCCAGCCTTCACACAGACAGACGAGACTTTGCCTGACATGTGGTCAACAGTCAGCCTTCAGAGATTAGATAATGAATGCTAATAATGTGGGTCAAGACTTTGAGCATCATGAATCCCGTGTGGCTGCTTTTGTTGTGTTTCTGCAGCTCTGGTCTGTGATTAGGGCGGATCACAGTCAAAAAAAGCAGCTGAGGAAATGTGTGAAATGATGTATCATTCAAAAAGCATTGTGTCTTCTGTCTTGTAAATTCAGATACGGTGATATCATTCTTTCTTTGCTTATTAATTCCTTCCTTTTTCTTTAGCACTTGGTCACACTACATCCTCCGTTTAAAACTGAATCAACATTCTCTGGAATAAGTTTCCCTTTTGGAAAGAAAATGTGAATGTAGATCAACAAATAAACTGTTTCCTTCCAAGACAGAATCACCTTTTTCAGCCTGAACATCTTTCTACTTTATTGTTAATGTAAAAACAATATGGTTGATCTTTATAGACAACTTAAAACTCACTAGTTAAAAATATCAGTGACTACATTTTTTTAGGCTCAAACTTTACTTTATATGTGATTTTTTGATCCAGCAGGTGTCGCCCTTGAGCACCAGCATGAAACCAAAACAACTCGCGCTGCATTGTTGTGTTAGCATGCTAATGCTAGCGATCTTTATTATGCTGGTATCTTCACACTGCATGTAAATTTACCTGAAATGAGCGTGATCTAGAAACACAGTTAAGCAGTGAGTACAGTATGTTATTCTTCTTTTCTCTAGTCCCTCAATTAAACAACTTTTATACACGAGGGGAGGAGTCAGCTGGCCGTCCTGGCGATGTAAACAAAGTGAAGATAGGACTCTGAAAACTCTGAAAGCATCACAGACAGTGGGACTCGGGTGTTACACCCATTGTAGACAGTCATGACTCACAGAGTTATTTTCAGAGGAGATACTTGATTTCTACATTTAAGTGTAAATAAATCACATATTAAGACTTTAAGGAAGTTTCTATGAGTAACACTGACATATTTACACAAGCTGACAATGACATTATTTCAGCTGGGCAAAGGTTGGAAACTGGATGAAAACGGGAAGTTTCTTTCTCAGATTGTTTTGTTAAGTACCAAAGATGCAGAAAATGGGTGTTACACCCATTGTAGACAGTCATGACTCTCAGAGTTATTTTCAGAGGATATACTTGATTTATATTATATTTAAGTGTGAAGAATCAAATATAAAGACTTTAAGGTTCTGAACCTCATATCGCCGTTCTTGTAACCTGGTATAGAAATGTACACATTTGAGAAAAGTCTGATTTACTGCACATTCTCATGATAAAAAGGATTGAGCTGATGATGGTATGTTGCACAACAGCTAATGTGCAAACTGTGGTTTTGACCACATATGGTGCTGAAAATGTAAATTCAATCCTGTAACTATACCAGGTATATCAGGTATTGTTATTACTTTGATCTCAATATGTTAATCATCCAACTCTGAAGTTTGTGATTCATAAACTGTTTCTGGGGATGTAACGTTACACTCAACTCACAGTTAGATATGTCTGACGATACTAGGTTCACAAAGACATGAGATTAAAATACATTTATACATATATTAATAATTATTTTATTTAAATTATCTGATACAAAATTCTTGAATATTCCTGTCTCTAAATGTTTTAGTGTCCTGTCCGTTTGAAACAACACACTTTAAAACAAGACGTATTCTAAACTTCTAAATCTTCACTAGCTTCTTTAGCTACTGCATATAACACCCTCTGGTGGTTGAAATGAGTATTACCATGTATATTTTTGTCAAATTGATTTAAATTGTCCATATTTGTATTGATTATTAATGGTATAGCAGTTATCGTGACGTCCCTGTCTTGCACACAGGTTTCCACATGAGGAGATCAGCTGCTGAAGGGTCAGTAGGTCTGTCACATCAACATCACACAAACACAAACAACAGCCAGAAACAACATGCTGCACCACGACTGGTGCCACCTGTGCTGATGTCACCTGCCAGGTTTTCAGTTCCAGGCTGCATCACCAACATTGTTTTCTGTCCAGCAGTATGTGTGTGTGTGTGTGTGTGTGTGTGTGTGTGTGTGTGTGTGTGTGTGTGTGTGTTTGGGGTTGCTCACAAACACTGTAACAGGAGTGCAGCCCTGCAACTAGAGACATGACTGCATCAGATAAGGTGAACACACACACACACACACACACACACACACACACACTGCTCTCTCACCGTGTTCTCAGTGCATCCCTCGGTCGCTTGCGCACACACACACACACACACACACACACACACACACACACACACACACACACACACACACACACACACACACACACACACACACACACACACACACACACACACACACACACACCATGCTTTCCCCTCTCTCTACGTGCAGTATGTTAATGAGATCTCTCACTTTTTTTGTGAACACTCACAATCCAAAATCCAATTCTTTAAAAAAATGACTCGATTTTAAATTGACTCCAGATCACATTTGATCGTCCCCGGCCTCCTCGTTGGTCACATGTCTGAACGAAGCATCATTGATGCACACATTAGATATTAACCAGATTGTGATTGGTGTTGTCGACGTATACATCTGGCCAACAAAATCTACCTTCAAGGGGGAAAATGGTAAATGGACTTGATGTTGTGTCGCACTTTTCTAGACTTCTGACTACTCAGAAAACTTGAGCAAATGTACAAGTAAAAAAAAATGTTCAGTTGCAGTCTGGTTTGGTTTAAAGTTTTTTCTTCTTTTATTAAGTCGACATT